TTAAAACAACATATCTCTTCAAAAGCCCTATTTAAGAACATTGGCCAACTCCTCCACTCTTCCCTCTGCCAATCCTGCCCTGATTAAGTGCGTGACAAATCCAGTATCTATGGATTTGGAATTTCAAATAAGTTTTGTTTTTAAGACTTGCACACATTTAAGCCCTTAAACCAGACGTAGTGATGAATACTGCGTTTTATTGAGGCCGGGTCTCTGACACCCAGGCTGTAGTTGCAGTAGCATGATCTCAGCTCACTGCAGCCTGGACTTTGGGCTCAAGTGATTCTTCCACGTCAGCCTCCCAAGTAGCTAGGACTCCAAGCCCACAGTACTGCCATGATACCATGCCGGGCTAGTTTTTTGTTTGTTTTGTAGAGAAGGGGGTCTCTATGTTGCTCAGGCTGGTTTCAAACTCCTGGGCTCAAGCAGTCCACTCACCGTGGCTTCCCAAAAGGCTGGGAATACAGGGATGAGCCACTGTGCCCGGCCAGTGGATGCTTCTGACATGTTACGTGCAAACAAAGCCAGACCTCTCAGGCCTCAGGTTTGCTTCCTGCGATGATCCTATTCTACTGAACTCACACTGATCCCTATAAAAGCAGGCGGCAGCATCATGCTTTTGGGAATGGCCAGTATCTTTTCCTGTTGATCACACCAATCCCAGGTGTCCTCCTAACAGGAGGGATCCAGACTGCTCAGTGTCTGTCACTGAGCATTCACCCAGCAAAGCCACTTAAAATAGCTCAGTGAGCCCTAGGAGGAAACCTAGATTCAAAAGTGATACTTGTTTCTAAACCTAGCCACATTACTCTGGCTTAAGGCGGCCTGAAGAACCAGAAAAACACCCAGCTATGGGTGAAAATACTTACAGGTGAAAATGTTTTTGTCTACGATTAGCATTAAGATACTTTAGGAAAAAATAATGAGGAGGATGATACAAGAACAACAAACTCAAGAAAAGACAGCTATGAGGAAATAACCATTACCCATTAAATTTTCCCTTTAATGACCGTGAGGACAAAGTCATGACAATGCAGTCACCACCCACTTTCTGGAAAAAAACAATGCCAATGTGGGAGTCCCAAGCTTGTCTGCCCTGATGACTGTAGGATCCAAGAGAGAGAGAGACAATCTCAGTGTTGGAGAATGCACTGAGAACACACAGACGGAAGGATACAAAGAACCCTGAGTAGACAAATGCATACAGACAGATTTGTGTAGATATATATACACATAGATTTCCTGTCTGTTACAGGGGTCTGGAAACAACACCCCAGTAGCAGTAAGCCCTCAGAGCATCCAGATCTTGGTTTCTAAATGCTGTCTTCTACTAAAGAGAACCAAGGCTCCTTAGAAAAATGGCTGAATCAGGCCAGGCATACGTTGGGTCATGCCTGTAATCTCAGCACTTTGGGAGGCTGAAGCGGGCAGATCACTTGAGGTCAAGAGTTCAAGACCAGCCTGGCCAACATGGGGAAACCCGTCTCTACTAAAAATACAAAAATTAGCCAGGTGTGGTGGTGGGCCTCTGTAATCCCAGGTACTTGGGAGGCTGAGACAGGAGGATCACTTGACCCTGGGAAGTGGAGGTTGCAGTGAGCCGAGATGGCGCCACTGACCCCAGCCTGGGCAGCAAAGGGAGACCACGTCTCAAAAAAAAAAAAAAATTATATGCAGCAATTCCACTTCTGGGTACATACCCCAGAGTTGAAACCAGGGTCTCAAAGATTTTGTATACCAATATTCACATGCGGAAGCAACCCAAGTGCCTTTTTTTAATTAATTTATTTTTTTCTGAGACAGTCTCCCTCTGTCGCCCAGGATGGAGTGCAGTGGCGCGATCTCAGCTCACTGCAAGCTCCGCCTTTCAGGTTCACGCCATTCTCCTGCCTCAGCCTCCCGCAGGCTGGTCTTGAACTCCTGATCTCAGATGATGTGGAGTGCTGGGATTACAGGTGTGAGTCACCATGTCCAACCCCAAGTGTCTATTGACAATGTATTGATAAGCAAAACATGGAATAAATACACAGAATGGAATATTACTCAGCCTTAACAAAGGAAGGAAATTGACATATTACAGCATGGATAAACCTTAAGGACATTAGGCTGTGTAAGATAAACCAGCCACAGAAGGGCAAATACTGTCTGATTCCATTTACAGGAGGTTCCTAGAATGAAAATCATAGACAAGTGGTGGTTTCCAGGGGCCAGAGGGAGCATAGAAAGGGGAGTTTGTGTTTCATGGGGACAGTTTAAGTTTTACAAAATGAAAAGAGTTATGGAGTTGGATTGTGGTGGCTACACATTATGAATAAACTGTACACTTTAAAAGTGGTTAGTCTGGGCAACATAGCCAGACCTCAACTGTACTAAAAATAAAAAAATTAGCTGGGCATGGATGTGCACACCTGTAGTCCCGGCTATTCGGGCGGCTGAGGTAGGAGGAAAGCCCAGGAGATGAAGGTTGCAGTGAGCCAGGATCACACCACTGCACTCCAGCCTGGATGACAGATTGAGATGCTGTTAAAAAAAAAAAAAATAGTAGTTAATAGGATGGTAAATTTTCTGTCTTACCACAGTTTTTTAAACATGCTAAAAGGACACTAAAGTCACTTTGACAGGTCTTCTGATGTCCAAATTTGAGGTAATATGAACATCAAATAAATGGTTGCAATGGATTGCGACCCAAACTAGGAGTCCATTAGCTGACATAACGAATCAATGGGGAGGGAAGGCTTCTCCACACAGGGGCGGGGTGTCGGCAGAGGGAACAGTGGACATGGAGGCTCATGGATGGGCAGTGGTGGTGGATTCAGATGGGAGTTGTCAATGAAGGACAAGGATGGAGGATAAAGGTTTGGAGAGGAACAGGCTGGTCATGTGCTTTGAGGATGCCTCCCCACAAAATACTCCTTGATTAACAAGAGACATAGTGTGACCTGACAGTGGAGCCATCTGCCTGTGTCACCAACGTTAACAAACTGTGCCCCTGGAGTGACAAACAAAGAATAGCGCAGCATAATTTCTGTGGCTTTCCTGCCACAAAAGTGCTGCCTAGGTTTGGTCACCATCAGCCAGACCCAGGCTGAGGGTGTACTACAGAGAGGCCTGGAGACTTCACCCCACTAGGACGTGAAACAGAAGCCGAGAGGACTGACGCAGACAGGAGAAAACTAAAGGAAACACACACCTCTTGACAGGGACCCTGGACCCGGAAAGGACAAGATACTGTTAGGAAAGCTGGCGAGATCTGCATGGGGTCCACAGGCTGGATGCAGTGTGCACTCCCTGACTTGGGGGGGGTGGGAATATCTAAATTTCGAAGAGAGAGGGAGCCAGAGGGAGACAATAATTTCAGTAGAATGTACCTTTTCTCCATGAAATTATTTTGAAATAAAAATTTAAAAGTTAAAGGACTAGGTGCAGTGACTTACACCTGCACTTTGGGAGGCTGAGATGACAGGATCTCTTGAACCCAGTTGGACCGGCCTGGGCAATGTAGTGAGACCCTAACTCTCTCTTTAAAAAAAAAAAAAAAATAGCCAGGAATGGTGTCATGTGCCTGTAGTCCCAGCTACTCAGGAAACTGAGGTAGGAGGATCACCTGAGCCCAGTCAAGGCTGCACTGAGCTGTGATCATGCCACTACACTCCAGTGTGGGCGACAACAGGACCCTGTTTTTTAAAAAAAAAATGTAGTAAAGAAAGGCTATATACTGCTGGGCGCAGTGGCTCACACCTGTAATCCCAACACTCTGGGAGGTCAAGGCAGGAGGATCGCTTGAGGCCACTGCACCCCAGCCTGGATGACAGAGCAAGATATTGTCCCAAAAAGGGGGAAAAAAAAAAAAGCTATATTGTAACATCTTACTATGCAAAGCTACTCATGGAAAAACTCATTAGGCCAGGCGCAGTGGCTCACTCCTGTAATCCCAGCACTTTGGGAAGCCAAGGCGGCCAGATCACTTGAGGTCAGTTCACGACCAGCCTGGCCAACATGGTGAAATTCCATCTCTACTAAAAATACAAAAATTGGCCAAGCACAGTGGCACATGCCTGTGATCCCAGCTACTTGGGGAGGGAGGCTGAGGCAGGAGAATTGCCTGAACCCAGGAGGAGGTTGCAGTGATTCGAGATCTCACCACTGCACTCCAGCCTGAGCGACAAGAGCCAGACTCTGTCTCAAAAAATAAAAATTAAAGAAAAACTTACTGTTTTTGAACTATAATTTTTTTACTGTAATATTTTAAACGTAATGCTCAATTAATTTGAGTGTGTTACCAAAGTTGCCTCAGGCCACCCCTTCTTCAATGGAGTGCCCAGAATGAGTTTTTATAAACAAGTCAGAGACACAAAAGATCACACTGGTTGGCTTCCAGTGTCGCTGCCACCACGTACACTCCCTGCGAAAGTGCATCAAGTCAGGGCCCCAGGCTCAGCTGCTCGAAGAACCTTCAGTCTGGGGGAGGGTTGTGATGTGAGTCACAGGTCCATGAATCCTTTTTTTGTTGTTTCTAAAGATGTAAAGACACTTTTTCTCCTTTCATTGCTTTTATCCTCAAAATGTTGCATTTCCTTCTGCCCTTAGCGTTTTCCATAACCTTCTGATCACTTTCAATTATTCTGGCAGTACACTCATCGGCTGGATTTATAGTGAAACCTTTACAATCTTCTTCCAATTCTTCTAAAATTAAGAAACGAAAACCAACTAGCCCACCCCTCAACCAGGCTGGAACGCATGTCCTCCTCAGTACTCAGTATGGTGAGAGATGAGGGTGCCCTGGGAAGTGTCCGGCAGTCTCCCCTCAGATCCTTGGGGTCATTTCTTTGGGTAGCAATGTCAGGTCTGGACGGGGCACAAGTCCCTACATCCAGGTACCCAACATGCCCGAGAGGCAGCAACGGTTCCCGCAGGGGCTGGCCCTGGTCCCCCACGACGAGCTTCCATCCCCTTACTCACATCTTCCCTTATTTTAGTTACTGCTCAACAGGACCAAACACTTCATTAGTAGCTGTTTATTGATCAATGGTTTGATATAAAGTTATTTCAGATCTTCAGATTTTTGCCCAGATGGAATCACAAGCATTACAAAGTTTTTTCTTAAAAATAAAAAAAGGATAGGGGCAAGTTGGGAGGGGACCAACCTAGCAGTAGTGGCATTTGAGAATAAATTAACAAAAAAAATTTAGTATTACCATTTATTGGTGACAAACACTAAGTTTTACTTACATTCCATGGGGAGAAAAATTCCAGCGTAAACAATGAATGGAAGCAGTACTTAACTCGCAGGGCTACCAGGCTTTCCATACGGACCACACGCAGAGCCTCAGTGCACACACTTCTGTGTACAATAACACAACATCAAAAGCAACACAGCTGTATAGAGAAATGTAGGTCATTCTTTTCAGCCCTAATGGAGATGTAATTAACAGTATCGAGCACTCTGGAAAATCAGTCTGCAGGTTTATATGGACTACATGGAGATCATATCCTGTAGTGTAGTGAAAGCTAAGTCCTCAAGAGCTGTATGTATAGATACACAATTTTTTTTAATAATCTTTAAAACAGAGATCAAAGTTCATTTAAGTCCTGTTTGCATTAACAAAAATAAAAATGAAATAAAAATGGAACCAAATGATCATCTAAAGTTTAAAATTCCTAAATTGTCCAATTTATACAACTGTGGGAGACTTATTCAAGGTTTTTGAAAGTCCAGGACTGTTTCAGCAGAACCAGAGGGCACACAATTTGCATCACTGAAATTGTCCTGGGTTAGTCAATTAAATAAAAATATCTAACCACATACACATGGATATGATCTTTGTCGGTTAGATTATTGATAAAGTCAGTCTCAGACAAGTTTCCAAACTGTGCTATATAACTAGATACAATTGAGAAACTCTCAAATGAAAATTTTATATAGTGTCATATCAATCAAAAGAAAATAATGAAACTAAGAATACAGATCACTGTTGGAAGAGAAAGCAGTGGTGATGGTGTGGGTACTGCAGGAGGTGGTGGGGCCATAGCACGCTAGAAAAGTTGGGTCACGCTGAGTAGGAAGCATTTGATTTTCTCTGGTGCTTTTAGCTCTGGGGCCGGTCAAAGGCCTCTCTCTGGCATGGCTGTCCAGGGTTTGTCCCAATGTGTCTGAGTGAGCCAGCCTGAGAAAGGGTCATGCTGTTTCTTCTTTCACACAGGGGGAAAAAAAGACCAAACACGGAGGTGCCCAGGGTGTGGATCTGCTGGTGTCCCGGGAGAACCAGCTGGCTGGGCAGCCCTTCTTCCCCACAGGCAGCTGCTATTGCATAGGGACCACCAGGTCACCGAGTGGCCGTCACAACCCCAGCACAGTCCAGCCCGGCCACAGCCGCCGCCTCGTGTCTGTTGTCTTCCCTGCTGCTGCCCACATCCTTTACCCACCGTGTCTCTCGGCCCACTGGAGGTATCAGAAATTCCAAATTTTCAAAGCAGTTTCAGTATTTTCAGTATATATGTTGGGATTTTTTAATGGTTCATGGCCAGAAAAGGTTCAGCACCTCCCACACCTTTAAGGAAGAAAAATGAAAATGACGCTAGTTTTGAAATGTAAGAGAATTAAAGTACTATTAAAAATGAAAAGAAATTGGCAAGCATCAGGAAGTACAATATACAATACTAAAAGCCCCAGTTTATGATAACAAAAGTTTTCCCAGGATATGCCAGTAAATAAAATAAGCAAGGAGAGTGTGTGTATTTGCTATCTCTGTGGGGGGAAAGGAAGAAAATGAGGGAAGAAATATATGTCTATATTTGCATAAAGAAACATACAGGAAAGATACAGGAGAAACTAGTAAAAATGTGATCTATGGGGGAGGCAGTGGGAAGAATAGGAGGGATGGGATGGGGGCTGTCTGAGGAGAAGATTGTACCTTGTAAAATAAAAGAGAGCTCTGACCATGTGAAGGTATGACCGACTCAAAAAGGTAAAAAGGTTTTTTTTTTGTTGAGACAGAGTCTTGCTCTGTCGCCTAGGCTGGAGTGCAGTGGTGCTATCTTGGCTCACTGCAACCTCCATCTCCCAGGTTTTAAGCAGTTCTCTGCCTCAGCCTCCCGAGTAGCTGGGATTACAGGTATTTGCCACCACACCCAGCTAATTTTTGTATTTTTAGTAGAGACAGGGTTTCACCATCTTGGCCAGGCTGGTCTTGAACTCCTGACACCTCATGATCCACCCACCTCGGCTTCCCAAAGTGCTGGGATTACAGGTGTGAGCCACTGTACCCAGCCTCAAAATGTTTTTTAAAAGTAGAGCTCTCTGCCCAGAGAATTTGGAAACCTTTCAGGCAAAAGGGCCAGAAAGTAACTCAGGCAAATATTTCCCCGCTAAGTCAGCAGATGGTGTGAACTCAACACAAACGAGGGGCAGCCTCCCCATCATCAGTGCCTCCCCTTCATCAGTGCACTCACACAGACATTGGTCCGTTTCCTGTTCTTGGCATCTCTGTACTTTGTTGGTCCAACTCAGACAGCAACTTTAAGATGTTCAGCGCAGCCTAGTGGGGATGGAAAGAAGAGTAAAGCCACAGCCATCACTTGGGACCACAGCATGATACACTGGTTAGGCAGGCAAGAGTTCCTGCTGCCCAGCAAACAGGTGGCAACTTCTTAAACTCTTGTACTACTAAATAAAACTTTGAATTTTTAATTTAAAATACAAATTTTAAAAATACTCAGTTACCTCATTGAATCATAACCTCTGAAAATGTTGTATTTTTCCTTCTAGTATTTTTAACCTTGTGGTAACCAGACTGTATAAATGTTATATCCTGCTTTCTAACAAAAATCTATCATGTATTTTTCTTTCTACAGAGACAGGGTCTCACTAAGTTAAGTTGCCCAGGCTGGTCTCAAACTCCTAGGCTCAAGCGATCCTCCCAAAGTGCTGGGATTACAGGTGTAAGCCTCCACACCCGGCCTATCATGTATTTTTCTTATTAAGTTATCTTCAGAGACACTGTTTTGTTGTTTTCTTTTGAAACAGAGTCTCACCCAGTTGCCCAGGCTGGAGTGCAGCAGTGCGATCTTAGCTCACTGCAACCTCCACCTCTTGGGTTCAAGCGATTCTCCTACCTTGGTCTCCCAAGTAGCTGGGATTACAGGCGTCCACCACCACACCTGGCTAATTTTTTTGTATTTTTAGTAGAAATGGGGTCTCACCACATTGGCCAGGCTGGTCTCGAACTCCTGAGCTCAGGTGATCCCCGCCTCAGCCTCCCGCAGTGCTGGGATTATAGCGTGAGCCACTGCACCCCACCAGGGACATATTTGATACAGCATGATGTCCATCCAAGTAAATACACCACGTTTGCTTAGATTTTAATCTGATCAATTCTTTTCTCAGTTTTCTTCTTTTTTTTTTTTTTTTTTTTGAGACGGAGCTTGCTCTGTCGCCCAGACTGGAGGTGCGTCGTGCGATCTCAGCTCTGGAAGCTCCGCCTCTCGGGTTACGCCATTCTCTGCCTACCCAAAGTTCGCTTGGCTACACGCCCGCCCTGGGGCCGCTAGCTTTTTGTATTTTTTAGTAGAGACGGGGTTTCACCGGGTTAGCCAGGATGGTCTCGATCTCCTGACCTTGTGATTCACCCGTCTCGGCCTCCCAAAGTGCTGGGATTACAGGCTTGAGCCACCGTACCCGGCCCCATCTCAGTTTTCTTGTAACAGTAATTTCATCTGAATAGAACACCAAAGCAAGTGGTTTTTACAGCTGCCAGAACGTGGACCTGCAGTTCCTTGTTCTGGTGAGAGAGGAAGTGAGTGCAGTCTCCGGGTGAGCTGCAGGATCCCAGTCGCCCCTCCAGACCAGCAGGGAAAAGGGAAAGGTGGACTAAAGCTGATGAGTTCTGACCAAGAGTGAGAAATCAATCCAAACAGCTATGACAAAAAGTCTTAAAAAATATGAACACTATCAAAGAATTAATTGTTCTCAAAGTCTATGGGAGAATCTTTCTCCCACATTCCTCAGGCTAGTAACAAGCTGAACCAAGGCAGGCTCCACATAAACACACAACTTAACACCCTAATCCCTCACCCAAGCTGTGACATACCATATCATGGCAGGACTCCACATCCTTGCCGATACCATGGCTGATCAGAGGTGGCTGAGAGGAGCAATTGATAAGAGATACAAATTCGTTCTTGTTGTTTTTGGGGAAGTCTTTGTATTCAACCTAAGGAGGAAAAGAGAGCTGAGGCTAGGTAGGGTAGGGAACAGCAAGTATGAGTGGGCTGAAGGGCTACAGCTCCGGGCCCCACAAGCAAGGAGATCACCCGCTCTTCTCTCCAACTCAGCCTGACTGTGGCTATACCAAGACCTGCTCTGCCAGCCCAGAACCTTCCAGGAACCTAGGTGTCTGCTCAGAAGCCCTAGACTGGGAGAAGCCATATCCTTTCCCACCAGGCAGAAGGTGTCAGCATGATGAGTCTGTTCTTTGAAATCCAAATTTACAACACTGCAAGTGGTTAGAAGCTTTGTTTTTAGGGTTGGCTTGCATTTTGAAATATTACTAAAGGATAAAGATGTTTCTCTTACCACATATGCTTACAATACTTCTATACCTCCTTCCCTGCCACCCTTCCACCACTGCTCCCCAACCCATCCCTGATTTAAGAAACAAAGTCCAAAGTTCATTTTCTGAGAGAAGCCAAAGGATGACTGTCCTGAGGCACAGCCATCACAGCTCAGGCCTGACAGTTACCTGGAATCCCTGGACTCTGGAAAGATAGTCCAGTTGTTCAGAGGGTCTCGTGAGAGGTCCATGGGGTACGTGGCCTGAAGAGATGTTATTCTTTAAAATGGTCTCGGCTGTGGGCGAGGTGCCCCCATACAACAACTCTCGGGCTATCATGGCAGTTACCGTGGCCTTGGCAGGATTTGGAGCTGCCCTGGTAAAATCTTTGGTGTGATGTCCTTGACTAACTCCTACAGCCTGGGCGACCTCGGGCACCATGGGAAGAATTCCAGCAGGCAGCTGCTGATGACTTAGGTAAGGCATCCTGAACTCATCCTCTTTATTACCTGGGAGGGACACACACGGTAAACACGAATCCACATCCACAGCCTGGAAAAACGCGATGACACCATCAAACCCCACGCTGGCCCTCCCCTTGCCATGCATGGCGGCGCAGGGAATCGGGGAATGATACGGACACTTTGCATGCAGGACCTCACTGGCTGGACTCCTGCTGTCATTCAGGACCCATGCAAATCCCAGAATCACGTTCAGAGGAAGACGATATTAAGATCACACTTACTAGTCCCATTTTCATCCCCAGAGCCAGGTTCAAAAAAGGTTACTTTTCTTCCATCCCCTGGTTTCTTTATGGGTGTCTTAAAAAAGAAAAAAACAAAAAAAAAAAAACAAAAAAGGCCATGAGCATAAATCAGATCACTGAAAAATTAGCTCCTGCTGTCTAAACCTGCATAAAATCCAATCAGCAGTAACTGAGGCAATCGGCAGAAAAACCCTGCCCCACCTGACCACTGGCACGCTGACAGACACCTGGGCAGAGCCTGCCTCCTTCTCCTAACGCACCCTCCTGCCCACACCCCTGCCCACAAAGAGCATCTAACAAAGTGCACTAACCTGTGAATGCTGAGCTGCACTCTGCACCCACAGGAAGACGGGAAGCATTTAACCAGAAAGAGCAGAGATGCTAGACGGTAGAGCCCACCAAGGTGGGGAAAGAAGCTTTCAGACTGAAGCTAAACAAATAAATCAAGAATATTTCCTGGAGCTGATATCCAATTAAAAAATAAGGTGACATTCCAAAATTAACACCCTTATGGGGAAAATGTTATTACCTAAGAATTCTGTCAAACACTACATCACCTTTCTACGAAGTAACAAAGGACACTATGAATGTCCTACAAGATTCTGAAATGAAAAACTCAAAATCCAAGTCTAAGATCTATACTGGTGGTATCTGGGGTCTCAGTCAGTTATTAACTGGCCACAACTGAAGCTGTTTCTCACTGTCAATACGACTGACAGACATCAATGAATCAGGCTTGATTTCAAGTTTATCTCACCAGGACCATACAGTGACGGGAAAGAAGATCAGCCTTGGCTTTTGCCGAGGTCCTGCTTACCACTTCTGGCAGACAAGAATTTTTCTTTTTACGTTCCTTTTTTGTTGTTGTTGAGACAGGGTCTGTCACCCCGGCTGAGTGCAGTGGCATGATCATGGCTCACTGCAGCCTTGACCTTCCAAGGCTCAATCCTCCCACCTCAGCCTTGTAACTCAGACTATAGGCACAAGCCACCATACCTGGCTGATTTTTAACTTTTTGTAGAGACAGGGTTTCATGCTGCTCAGACTGGTCTTGAACTCCTGGATTCAAGGTCTCAGCCTCCCAAAGTGCTGCGATTACAGGTGTGAGCCACCACACCTGGCCGTGAATTTTCCACAGGGGATTATTTTCATCTGATATTTAACTCACATAGTAAAAAAGAAATCCCAAACCTAAACTTTGGATTTGGCCTGTCTCTGCTGTCATATCATCTTATTTTCCCAGAAAAAACTGTCTGTTCCACAATTAATGAAAGCCTAATAGTTATAAATCTTTCACACAGGCTTCATTTCTAGAGTGCAAATCACACTTAGTAACTTCAATCCTAATTACCATCCTACAAATGGAGAGGAGCAAGCTGCCCTCCACAAAGGGTCCCCAGACCACAAAAATACTGACACAATCACGATCTAACCAGAGCCTACTGGGGCCAGTGGACATGCGAGGCCCCTCTGAGCACCTTATGGTCCAAATGGATGAGACACTGCTCAGCAGGACTGCTTGAACTGCCGGGAGGATGAAGCCTTGCCTTGAAGCCTGCCCCTGAAGGTGCCCCAGTTCCCTAAGGTGAGGCGAGAGACCATTTCGCAATCAGAGAGCCCACACACTCACCTTCTCCTCTGACTTGAGTGCTGGTTTGGTGGGCTGTGCCTGCGGGACTTTGAAACCAAGGATCTCCAGCATGTTCTCGGCTGCATTGCGCTTGGCCACCTTCTTGTTGGTGCCCGCTCCTTCTGCAGTGTGGTTTCCAACCTTCACCTGCACGAAGAAGTCAAAACAGACCAGTGCTTAAACCTTCAGAACCACCACCAGGCAGGAATTGGTGTGTCAGCAAAATAACCCAACTATGGTCAGAAGCGAGATAACAGCAGTGCCCCGAACCTGGCCTCCTCGTCTGTGGGAGCTAATTATCAAACAGTCAGTAGTTTGGGAAGCTGGATGTTAAACATAGCTAGTATTAAACCTTTAATTACATAAGCTGATAATTATTTTAACAGAGGTAATTTCTGACTGCATTTTATAATTATCTGTGTTCGAGGGTCTTTCCGGCTATTGCATTTGTACGATGGAAACAGTCTGTGATGGTGAACTACTGCACATCTCTTCTGAGCACTGTGATCGGAAGTATCACGTTGAGAGCTTGAAATCAGCCATAGTGAGACTATTGATACCACAGAAACATACAAATGTTACATATCAAAGATTAAGTTGTTTACTGATTGTCTAAACCTACAATGATGAAAAGGCTAATAAAGCAAGTTAATCTTAAAAGCATGAGAAGTCTGCAGCCATTACATTGTAACTATTACAAAAAACTGAAATATCTTCCCATCTTTGAAAATTATTATCTAATTTAGCAGAGAAGCCACTCATATCATTTACAAATGAGTGATATTACATGTCTTCATTGTTTTTACTTTTTTTCTTTCTTGGGTGAGACAGGGTCTCACTTCATCACCCAGGATGGAGTGCAGTGGTATGATCTTGGATCACTGCAACCTTCACTTCCCAGGTTCAAGCAACTCCCCTGCCTCAGCCACCCAAGTAGCTGGGATTACAAGCGTATGCCACCATGCCTGGCTAACTTTTGTATTTTTATAGTAGAAACGAGGTTTCACCATGTTGGTCAGGCTGGTCTTGAACTCCTGACCTCAAGTGATCCGCCTGCCTCGGCCTCCCAAAATGCTGGGATTACAGGCGTAAGCCATCAAGCCTGGCCTGTTTTACTTTCATCTTACCTGTTAACATAAATAAAAAATATCAACCAGCCAGGCGTGGTGGCTCACGCCTGTAATCCTACCACTTTGGGATGCTGAGGTGGGTGGATCACCTGAGGTCAGGAGTTTGAGACTAGCCTGGCCAACATGGTGAAACCCCATCTCTACTAAAAATACAAAAATTAGCCAGGCATGGTGGTGGGCGCCCGTAATTCCAGCTACTCGGGAGGCTGAGGCAGGAGAATCACTTGAACCCGGGAGATGGAGGTTGCAGTGAGCCGAGATCGTGCCGTTGCACTCCAGCCTGGACAACAAAGCAAGACTCCATTCACCCCTACCCCCCCAAAAAAAATGGAGCAAGACTCCATTCACCCCCCCCCAAAAAAAACTATATATATTATATATATCTCAACCAGTATTCATGCTAGAACCAAAATCTTAAATCTAAAGTACAGATTTGTCAATGACATGAGCAACACCTTTGCTGAACTGGATAGTAATAAACCATTATGTGTTGTCTGATTTTACAAAACTATCTTTGGTGATTGTCACACTGAAATATGTATGAAATTTACAATAAAGTGTATTATATATGATTTATAAATTGTGCTACACATCCTGTCAGTAAAATTTATAAAACACATGTATACATGTCAGTATAATTTATAACACACATCCTTTGTGTCAGTAAAATTTATAACACACATGTATATATATAACATACATATATTCAGCTCCTTCCACCAAACCACCCTCCCCCAAGAGCTGGATGTTAAACATGTTCCAGCACATCACTGCTTACAACCCCCTTCCAAGTTGATTGTAATAACAGGCACCTGGCTGCTAAAACGAAAGCCCAGGTCACAAGACTCAGAGAGTCAAAGAAACCATTCCCTGGCCTGGGACTAAATTCCAACCTGGCCATCTACCAGCTATTTCATCTTGGCCAAATTACTGATGCTCTCAGCAAACTGCAACTTCCTTGATCATTCTTTTCCTACCTTCTGACTGCATAGGTAAAACATACAAGGTCAACTTTGTAAGTTATACATTGCTATACAAGAGATAAGAATTCTGTCTTACATCAGAAAGCACTTAAATTCAAATCACAATTAAGTTAAGCTGCCTATGTGAAATGACCACTTAGCTTTGAACTTAATAAGCTAACTACAAAGAAATATTCCATACTAATCTGAAGTGTCACCCAATCTAAGGAAGAGGCAACCCTGGATTCCAGACTCCACAAGAATTAGGAGGAAGAGGAACAGATCTCTTGATACTACTTACAAAATTTACCTTTGGAAAAGAGCAATGTCATAAACCTGCAAGGAGATGTAATGAAGAAAAACTTCACTCAGCACCCACCACCCCAGGACTCTCTTCTTCCAAATTTCGGTGCAACACACCCACATTCCCACCAGTGCACACAGCAGTAATGCTGGTGTGCAGACATTACATTCACATGTACTAAGTGTTTACTTTAAGCATTAAGATAAACAACTTAATCTTTGATATGTAGCCTTTACAGATTTCTGTGGTATGTTTAAGCTGTCAAATTATTGCAAGCCACAAGGTCTTAATAAGGATCACAGTTGGCTGGGTGCGGTGGCTCACGTGTGTAATCCCAGCACTTTGGGAGGCTGAGATGGGAGGATCACAAGGTCAGGAGATCAAGACCATCCTGGACAACATGGCGAAACTCCATCTCTGCTAAAAATACAAAAAATTAGCTAAGCGTGGTGGCACGTGCCTGTAATCCCAGCTACTCAGGAGGCTGAGGCAGGAGAATCACTTGAATCAGGGAGTCGGAGGTTGCAGTAAGCTGAGACTGCACCACTGCACTCCAGCCTGGGCGACAGAGTGAGACTCTGTCTCATAAATAAATAAATTAAATAAATAAATAAATAAATAAGGACCACAGTTGCTGGCAGAACATGGCCACAGGATCCAGCCTCCTCATGAAGGTGTCCAGGCCTTGAACCGCCATCAGCCCCCAAGGCTGGACGTGGTCAGAGGAAGAGGCGCCCATCATCCATGCTGACCCACCTGCATCACAAACTCCCTGCGGCGCGGGAGGCCTCGCTCTGTGAGGAGCATGTACTCTGGCTCCTTCTCCTTTTTTGCCTGCTGGATCTGGGCCAGTCTGCTAATCGGATTGATCCCCTGGCCATATTCTGGGCTTGTCTGTGGCTGAGGAACAAACAAGGCAGAAACTCTGTAATGTTATTCATTCCATGAACTTGGTCAACTCAGAGATCAGGATAAGAGAGGAGATAAGAGATTTTGGGTTGACCTAATGGCTCAGAATTAGATTTTTTTTAATTTAACATTTTGAAAATGAAAAGATGCTTTGATTTTGTATGATTGTTCTAGGTGGTTTTAAGTTCTTAACAAACCAACATCAACATTTCACTATAACGAAGCATCACTATTACTGCAACGGCTGCTTTTTAACATATTTCAACATATGACAGTAAATGGACAGCAAAAACATAAACCAATATTCCTACAACTCCCCAAAAGTCTGAGCTATGATGGGTTCCCAATTTTCTTGAAAAGAACTCAAAATCCAGAAACCATTTTTTAAAAAAAGCTCAAGCTGATGCCACATGGCAAGAAGAACCTCAGAATCCCAGTTACTTCCTTGTGGCCACCTTTTGTGCCAAGGAACCCTCATTCACTCTGCTGATCAGAGAAGTGACTTCCAGGCTATATTAAGCAAAAAAGGGAAACAAAAGGGTATACACAGTATGCTTTTATGTAAGAAAAATTTGGATCTTGATACAGCACGAAACTACATATACTGAAAATCACAAAGTCCCCCATGGAATTATGTCCCCTTTCTGGGGTTGGGGAAGGGGTCAATATAATGCTTTCACAGATCCATTAGTGTGGTTCAAAAATCCAAAAGAAAAGGCACACAGAAAAATGTCTCACTCCCACCCTCCCGCCATGGGCCTCCTGCCTGGCACAAATCTCCTCCACCTTCAGAACAGCACCATGGTCACTGAGACAGAGGCACTGTTATTTCACTACGTGCCCCACAGACGGGCATGGCGTTCCTGCCCAATACCCCACTGTGATTGCCGGGGCTGTGATGATGTGTGTGCCCATCTGCAGGTACCCCTACTGAACTGGCACAGTGTCTTATCTTACCTAACAGGTGGCTCTTGCAGCACCTCTAAGGGGTCTGGGCAGGCCTGGGGTGTGACACGTTGGTCTCATCCCCTTTCACCTCGGGGACAGCAACCAGCCTTCTAAACCCCCCAACCATCTATAGGTCATGAAAACACCTTCTGTGTTCAGAAAAGTTCTCACCTTGACTATGGGTTTTGTTTTCTTTTTGATTCTAGGCTTTACTCGTTCAACTGCAGGCAGGGGCGGTAACTTCTTCAGCTCCTCAAGAACAGCTATGGCGGCGTTTTTCTTTGAAATCTTCTTGCTTTTCCCTTCACCTTCCCCCACAAACTCCCCAACCGAAACCTTGGTCACAAAGTTCTTCATGTGGGGTGGGCCACTCTCCCGGGCCACCTGTTTCAGAGGGAAAGACTGAGTGAAAGCGGACAGACACTTATTAAAAGCTGCAAGGCACACTGGCTGGCACACTTCACACAGACAAAGGGAAGGGGAATCAAGGACAAGGCCTACTAAATGAAATGAAGCAGGGATCATTTCAAATGCTTTCTCGCCTTTCTTCTTACTTCTCAAACTGGTTTATGCTCTTGAGTCTGGTGAGTCCCAAACAGTCAGGCATGAAAGAAGAAGACCTTTTTACTCCCATGCCCCTGGCTCGCAGGCTGTCCTGAGTTTAGTGTGGTCCAGTGCAACTGGCAAAAAGAAAGCTTGCCCAGCAAAGCCCAGAAACAAATGCAGCACAAATGCTCAAGTTTAATATCTGCTCTGAGCCTCCAGCCAGGACTAGGCCTACTAAATACTGGCTGCTATGTGGCCACAAAAGAGAATGAGACAAATCTCTAAGCACTGATAAAGAGGGATTCCCCGCACACATTAAGTTAAAAAAAAAAAAAATCAAACTACAAAAGAGTGTATATGGTATGGTAGCTTTAGTTTAAGAAAAAAAAGGACTTTATATAAATATCTACACATACATAACAGACACATGTTTATAAGCTCATTTATGAAAAAAAAAAAAAGACAGAGGAAGGATAAATAAATCAATGGGCTGGACATGGTAGCTCACACCTGTAATGCCAGCACTTTGGGAGACTGAAGCAGGTGGATCACTTGAGGTCAGGAGTTCAAGATCAGCCTGGCCAACATGGTGAAACCCCGTCTCTACTAAAAATACAAAAATTAGCTAGGGGTGGAGGTGCACCCCTGCAATCCCAGCTACTCGGGAGGCTGAGGCACAAGTATCCCTTGAACATGAGAGGCAGAGGTTGCAGTGATCCAAGATCACAACACTGCACTCCAGCCTGAGTTGGACAGAGTAAGACCCTGTCTCAAAGGGGAAAAAAAAAAAAAGCAAGCATTGGGCCGGGCGCGGTGGCTCCCGCCTGTAATCCCAGCACTTTGGGAGGCCGAGGCAGGCGGATCACGAGGTCAGGAGATCAAGACCATCCTGGCTAAGACAGTGAAACCCCGTCTCTACTAAAAATACAAAAAAAATTAGCCAGGCATGGTGGTGGGCGCCTGTAGTCCCAGCTACTCGGGAGGCTGAGGCAGGAGAATGGCATGAACCTGGGAGGCAGAGCTTGCAGTGAGCCGAGATCGTGCCACTGCGTTCCAGTCTGGGCAACAGAACGAGACTCCATCTCAAAAAACTAAAAAATAAAATAATAATGATAAGAATGGGTGAGAAGAAATACAGCTAAGAAGGGAAGTAGGGAGGTACTTTCTCACCTCCATCCTGTTCTGGGGTTGAAGGAAGAAGAAATATCTTAATGACTTCACATCTTTTTATTTTCCTATCATCTTCTCAAAGACCCCCACATATATCGAA